TCGAAGACCATATCATTCAGGACATGTGCTACACTTGGCTACATTGTTCAAACATTAAACTGGTCACCAAGTTTGGAGATAATTAAACTGCTACTGTTCTTTTCCTCCAAGTCTGGAGATAATTGAAAACATGTGTGTATAAATTAACTAGGGGAAAAAAAACTCAGGCTGCTTTGTTCATGCCTCCCAGTTAACACCACTAATTAGAGAAACTAAATCAATAAATCTCATTTCCACCAAAGTTAAAAGCATAGGTGCACAGCAAAGCAATAAAGCTTCGGATTACAACTTTACAAGCCACAAAAAGCCAGTAATTCTGTTCATATGAGCTATACAATCCACACACAAGACAGTAGTAATCGTCAAAAATGGCAGGAAAGCTACTCCACTTATACGATTGCATCTAGAACAAACCGAATCGTTTCCCCAGTCTGAATCAATCCAGAATTCCAGGCGTTCTCCTGATCTCTTCTCTTCGTGAAGAGCAACACAACCATTTTGAAAATAAAATGGAAAAAAGGAGAGAAACAACTTACCCGCCGGACTTGGATTCCGCCGTCGCATCCGCACTCGCCTGCAAACACACAAAGAATTCAGAATTCAGTTAAGGAATTCTGAGCAGAGGACGAAGAACAAAGAACAAGAACAAAGAACCCGGCACGTAACTGTAACCGCGGCGCGCGCTACCACCGCCCCTCCGCGCGCCCGCACCGACCTCCTCGCCGCGACCACGCGCACGCTCCTGCCTGGCGCGGCGGATCTGGGCTTGGCGGAGGCGGAGGCGGCGCCGTGCAGCGCGTACTGCAGCGAGGCGGCGGCAGCGGTGGCCATTTCTCTCTCTCTCTTTGCTCGCTCGCGCGCGCGCGTGGCGGGACGGCGAGAGGTCTCGGATTCCGGCGGCGGTGGCGGCTGCTGCGGCGGCGGCGGCGCGGGGAGGGGGTGTTTTATAGTGTGAACGCGGCGAGCGCGGCGGAGATGGAAACGAGGCGGCGGAGAGCACGAGGCGAGGAGGAGGAGGGAGTTTTTTGTCGTGGACCCGGTCTATGGACCGAGGAGAGGTGGGGCCCACATGGAGGGTGCCGGTTCACGGGGGATGGGTGCATGGACCGGGTGCAGGGAGAGTGGGAGCCTCGGTTGCATCGACGGGCTTTGCTGGTTTTTGATGGACCTGGTTTGCTTTCTTTGGGCCGATCCATTAAGGCCCAATTAACAAGGCCTTCCTTTGCTTCTACGACCATTATATATATGGGCTTTATTCTGATTTCTTTCTTTAGAGAGAAATACTTCTTTTGAGATGATAGTCATATGTGACATAAATAGAGTTATGAAGAACACAAATGTGCAACAAGAAGAGCCATTTAATGGAGAAGAAATAGTCATCCAATGCAAATTGTAGTAAAGAAGATTTAAATCAGGTAATTAGAGGTGTACATCCAGACCTATCACCGATTGATTAATGCTCATTTTATATCTACCCCAGTTTCTTTTTCACTTACTAGCTAATATGCCCATGCTTTACAAGGATAAACACACATCTCATTAATTTTTTTAGCTCTTATCAATTTATCATGGAGCCCTTAAACAAAAATCCGATCGAACTACCCGTTGAGAAGTAGGACGATTTTTCCGCCAATGTATGGCTTAATTAGGGGCAGGCAAAAGTGTATTATTTTAGCAATATATAGACTCAGTTTCACTGTCACTACTATGTTATTTTTAAGTAGTAAATTAAGATTCTGAGCTAAATTATACACTGTTCATATCTTACTCATACAGTTCCAAACAAACCAGCAGGTGGGTCCTGACACTTACTAGAGTTCATCAAAAGTTAGCTTACTTCTAGTTTCTTCTCTCTTGTTTCATATAATCCCTGGCCGTGTACATAGTGATGAGTATGAAAGGAGAATATAAGAAGATTCTAGAAAGTAGAAACCTCTAATGGTGTTAATTAATTGATCACATACCGTACATAAATGGGGCTGTTCAGATTATAGTCAAAATAAAAATTACCAATACCAAAATTTTGGCAATTTGGTAATATTGCCAAAATTTTGGCAAGATTTATTATGTAATTACCAAAGTTTGGAAGTTTGGTAAGAAACTAAACGGATGCACATATTTGACAACTCTAAAAAAAATAATATGATTTGAAATGGCATCAATCTGAACAAGACTTAGATGTGTTACTGCGTTTCATGGTGACCGGATTAACTATAGGTGTCAGATTTTCATTAATAACCGCTACCCTAAAGTATTGTTGTTGGTTTTTACGCATAACCGGTACTTATAATTGATAATAGGTGCAGGTTTGTTCCGAATAACCAACACCTTTATACCAGTACCTATTTGACGTTGTGTAGTATTGTCTGTTGGTTGGTTAATTGGTCACATAATACACGTACGTAGGACCCTGCAAATTTAGTGATCCCTAGCCAAGAAATTTAGTACCAATTGATTGATTGCATGCATGAATCTATCTATACATGCTAATTGCAAGGGTTGGATTTGACCTAAATATCTGTACCAACTTAGTGCCACCTGTACTCCATGATTAGCGAAAAACCAATCAATTAATATGGCCCTTGCAGTACGTACCAGGACACGTCCTAGTCTCATATGTGGTCTCAGGTTCATCAGCTCATAGCTAGCTTAGTAATATATCTTAGTACCAAAGGGCTTGATAGCTGCAGCTGCTACTTCACATCTGCATAATTTAATTTGTTCCAATATGTCCTGGACATTCCAACAAAAAATATGTGTCCTTTTGGTTCAGCAAGCATATGCCATTTTGCATCTATATATGGAACATGAATTAGTTCATTGATTCCAATTGATCAGCTACATGTTTTGTCATAGTCCCTTTTCTTATGCCACAATTGTGCTTAGCACCAAATACAGTTCTAAATTAGTGAACAGTTCAGTTTCTGCAACAATGTTCAGAAAATATTTCTGAATCTCAATGACCCAAAAGTCCTTAATTAAGTCGATCTATATGATGCTGAAAACTTGATTGACATGAAGAAACAAATATAAACCAATGTTCCAAAAACTTCAACCAACTTATATACAGATATAGAATTCAGTTTCTGCAGCAATATTTCTGAAAAAAAATTCTGAATCTAAACTACGCCTAATTATTAATTAAGTCCTAAGTCGATGCTGAAATTGGTTGAGATGAAGAAGCAAAAACAAACTGAAGTTCGAAAATTTCCAACCAACTTATATACTTATATACAGATGCGTATGGATGGATCACAATTCAGACAAACTTTGATCGAAACTGTGTAATCGACATGAGTTGCATGAGAGATCGAATAGGGTTTGGTAGCACCTAGGACACGATTGGCACACATATGTACGTGGCCATGGAGGAAACACATTAATAACTAGTAGTTCTTGATATTTCTCCCTTTTCCCCAATTATTGATCATCGATGGATAGCTAGCATTCTAGAATGATGATCACCAGATGCGTATGTACGTTCCATCATATCAGGCAGCCAGGGCACACAAGAGAACAAATCAAAGGGCGATCGATTTGATGTGATATCAACTGCATATTTGCATGGAATTTGTGCCAAGTCTTTCGGCTATAATGATTTGGTTGTGTGTCTTCTTGAATTGGACCCAGCTGCTTTGCAATCATTCATTCACAAGAGTCCAGCGGCTAAGTCATTTCAACCATCACCATGTTACTGCAGATATGTACTCCTATATATGTTCAGAAACGAGTTGTTAAGCACTAGCTAGCTACTAACCAATTTAATCTAGTTTTAATTTGCCAGGAGTGTGCTAATGGCCTTTTGAACCATCTCATTCAGATTGGATGTATTGGAGTTACCCCTCTGTGTTCACTGTCCATAGGTGGTATAGCTAGCTAGTTAGTTGCTCTGAATTATGTGAGGTGGCCATCATGGTTTCTAGTCTCTCTATCCCAAAACAAAAATATAGTGACCTTTAGAATTAATATTTTATCCCAAATATAACAACTTTTTTACCCCTAACTATTCATAGTATCCTTGGCTTCATGATGGTTTGTGTTTGCTTAGCTTTGTTTCTACTATCGTGAACTTTTTGTGTGAGTTCTGTAATAATTGGATGTAGCTCTTTGAGTAAAGGTCGGGATGTTTCATTCCATTATCTAAAAATCACCCCTGCCCTGGACTCACACCCACCGACCCTGAGAGGCAAACATGTATTTTTACTCTCTTCTCCTTAATACTCATGTCACTACCTAGAAATTACTATATTATAGGATAGACGAAAGGAGTACTTATTAAATATTTAATCATGGTCTTTTCTTTTTGCTTTTTCTAAAAAGCCGGACCAATATGATCTACTTTCTAGAAAATCTTTAATCTGTTTTCCTGCCATAATATATATCCTGAGTGTAAAAATAAATCACATGATAGAGAAAGATATGTACGTTACGTTGCAAAATTCGATTGCGCTATGTTATATACTTATATTTAAGGAAAAATACATATAAAAAGGTCTTATTTTGAAACAAAACTAACACATAAATATAATGGTTCAACCAAAAAATATATATTTGAGATTAATATGGTTGAGGGCCAAAGTATGATCAATCCTTTCATGGATGTTAGGTTGTGTGGATATGAGAGGAGGGAGTATGCTCCTAACTTACTTTTCAAACCAAAAGCATGGTTGTTTTTCTCATGCATATATATCCCAAAGAGAGAGGCCATATTGCTTGTCCTGGCCTGCCGGCCAACTTGTACTATAGAGACCCAATCTGGTCTCACCTCTGCAAATTGCACTGCATTACATGGCTAAATTCAACACCAAATCCAGCAGCTCCCTTTGCTTTACATGCCCTCTCCATTCAGGCATGCAAAAACCACCATGCCATTGCCATCCAGCCACAACATTACTATTAACTATTAAATTATTCACCCATTCATTAAAAAAACATTAGTATTAATTAGGAGGAGAGCTACTTGTGATGCCACACTCCCTCCATTCACTTGCACTCTCTAGACACTCACAAACACACACACAACACACACCAATCATTCATTCCCTCTCTCACATTTGTGTACAACCACAAGCCTACACCTACACAACAATTAGCATTTAGTAGCATGCAATGCAACCACACACACACACACATATCCCTCCTATAAAAGGGACATCTCACACCACAACTCCATAGAAATCACAAAACCCAATTCACCAAAGCCAAAGCAAGAACTAGATCAAGAAGAGAGAAGAAGCCAAGATAATCCAGCAGAAATAATTTCAGAAATCTATAGCTAGATAGATCATAGATGCTGCCTCTGCTGAACATGCAAGCTGAAGCTGCTGGTGGCGATGGTGGTGATGCAGAGAAGAAGAGTGGCAACAACAAGCAGATGATGGTGGCGGCGAAGGTGTCCATCTCCATTCTGGTGATGTCGCTGCCGGTGCTCTACGTCTCCTTCCTCCGCATCCCGCCGGCGACGCTCTTCCGGGACACCACCTTCTGGTTCCTCATGTCCAACTCCATCATCATCGTCATCGCCGCCGACTCCGGCATGCTCTTCTTCGCCGCTAGGCCCGCCTCAAGCTCCGGCGAGCTTCAAGCCATGGTTGTCACCGATGTCAGCCTCAGCCATGCATTGGTGGTGGCGCCGCCGAGAGGTGGCCAAGAAGACGATGACGGTGTTGTCGTCGCCGGCGAGCCGGCGGAGGAGGAGTCGACGATGATGTTGGTGCCGTACTACGGCGGCGAGGTGGTGCAGGCAGCAGCAAGGCCGACAAGGCTGACGGCGAGCAGTGAGGCGGAGAGGACGACGACGATGGCGCGTCGCCGTCGTCGAAGCAGGTCGCACTCGTCGCACCACGCGCTGATGATGACGCCGCCGGTGGTGCAGGAGAAGAGCATCGTTGTCGTGAGGGAGGAGAAGCTCCGGCGAACTGCAACGGAGCGGCCGCCGGAGCCGGAGGAGGAGATGACAACGACGAGCAGCAGCGAGTACTCGCGGCTCTCCGACGAGGAGCTGAACCGGCGCGTGGAGGAGTTCATCGCCAGGTTCAACATGGAGATCAGGCTGCAGCTCGAGAAGGAACAAGAACAAGCTGCAGCTGCTTGACATATGCAAGAATCCGCCATGGCCATGTACAAAATCGATCAAGTTCAAGCTCAAAGCTCAAAGGCTCTAGCTAGCTCCATGTCATGTCCATGTCCATGTAGATGTTGATGCGAGTTTGTTAATTAGGTTGAGCTTTTGGACATGGAGCTAGCTAGCTAGGCATAAGCTCCATGTCACAGAAAATAGGTCGGTTTTTTAAAAACTCCCACAAAATTCCTCTAGGCCTATTCAGATCGGAGGAATTTTGCAGGAGTTTTTAAGAAACCAAGCTATTTTCTGTGAAAATTTTGTAAAATTCCTACGTTTCAAAGAGCCAGCAGTAGCTATAGCTAAGTAGTTAGCTAGTAGCTTCTTCTTGCTTGGTTCCTCTTGGTAGTCTTCTGCATCCATAGATGCAGGAGAGTGAGATGAGAGGAGCTATATTCTCATGAGGGATCATATAATTTGTATTTTGTATTTGTGTACATCATCAAGAGATCAGATCAGAACAATCCAAGAGATGGAGTAATATATTATAGCACTAGTAGTAGTTGTTGTACTACTGATGAGGATTAGATTTTGCATGCATGGGGATATAGTAATAACTAATAATAACAGAGATCTCTATGGCAAGAGAGATGAAGTGTATATATGGCTTGTTTAATTAATTATGGCTGCCATGATACAAGTGTCCTCTCTACTGTACTTCTGGCACCAAGATTTTTCACTGTAGAAATGTTTTGGGAGTGGGACCCACCTCATAGGAAAACTGTAACAAATATAGTTAGGTTAAACATGTCGAAATAAACATATAAGATGTCTCGAAAAATTCAGAGTTGCAACATTTTTCTCCCTGTATTTCTAAAACGCAAGTCTGATTTTTGACATGAAAAATGAGGGTGTATCATCCATGTGGAGTCTTGTAAAACAAAACTAAATTCACACGTACAACTGGTTTCCTCTAGAGAAACATAAATTAAAGCTCAAATCAAGAATTCAGAGACTGATCTTTTTTTGTATTAACTTATTAACTGAAGATGCACTGCTCGAACGATTTTGCCATCAGAACAGTGTACAGCTTCTTATTCGATCGATCTGCAGTACTTATGAGTTATGACGACGACAAGATCTTGTCCTCGTGATCTTACGCACAAGTACGAAGAAATTTCAATGCGCTCCTTGAAGGTATATATATTATCTCATTAATCTACCTCTGTTAATTTGCATCAGTGAATTGATTAAGCTGGCTTAGACATGAGGATCCAGATGCAGGGGAGGAGCAAGGTTCATAGCACGAGCTTCACTTAGGTAACAGTACCACTGTCCTGTCATGTACTGTGTAGTAAAGTTTCCAGCCTAATTCTTCCTCCGGTTCCATAATTCCTATCATTTTAGATAAAATTAAAATCAAACTATTAGGACTTTAATGATTATTAACTTTTAGAGCATTTAGTTTAAAGATACTAACAACAATATGTATAGATTAGCCTAAAAATATTTTATAAAATTAAATACTTATTTATTTTTTATATTTATTATGACAGAAAATTATTGTCATTTTGTAGATCATGTTACTGTGTAAAATAATAGGTATTATCAAGCTGAAGGGAAGACTACTAGCTAGTAATTAAGTAATTAAGTTCCATCCGGACTGGCAACCTAACTCATTTACAGTGCGTCCATTTGCAAATGACACTGTGAGCAACAGTTTTTTTTTCTCGAACGCGCAAAAAAATTACACATCAATATATTAGAAGAATAGAATGTTTGTTACACGACGCAATCAGTCAGACCGACTTATGCCAATAAAGAGGGGGGGGAAGACTAAAATAAAGAAGAGACGAAAGACTCCTGTGACGGCTACACACAACTCCAAATAGCTGGGAGGGGGCAGAGCCATTACCTTTCTAGGAGAACCCCAAAATTAGCTGATACCAGCTAAAGACTAAACACTATGAGCAACAGTTAACTGATGGGGATCAAGGCTCCTAGATATTTGTCGGCAAGAACGTGGTTAATTAATTAACTTTTGCACTGTTAATTACAAGGATGATTAAGTATAGTTCCCTTTCTTCAAAATATAATTTTTGCACTATGATTTTAAAAATATAATATTTTTTTTGTGATTCAGAGGCATGTGTCAATACAAGGAAAATCCTTGTTCTTGCAAACAAAATAAAAGAGCAGGCCAATATATATACACAATAATTTGCTACTTAATTATCTCTGCTAGGCTAGCTAGCTGACCTACATCAAGGTTAATCAAGCTCTATTTTATCATTTGTTGGCTTATGATTGATCACTGCAAAGTCTTTGTACTTATCCCAACATCTATGATCACCCAACTGTAATAAACTAAAAGAGAAGCATTGACAGGGGGTTACTCAACTCTTAGCTGTCATGATACACGTGTGTATTCGTGTGGCATGAATGTTACTAGAATTACACATATGTATGCACTTCTCTAATCGAGCTTAAAGAAAATCATACACCACCATTGCTTACATATATTGTAAATGTTTGCAAAACCAACTTATTGGAGAGGTATAGCACTGGAAACTATTGGAGTATATATCATTTTTCTCGATTACATAAAAGACGCATATATAAGTACAGCATACACACACCCAAAAATTCCTGAAAGGGTCCGGTAAGGGTATTTCTATATCCCTCAGCCTCCATATACACTAGTAGGGAAACGATTAAACGGTAGGAAACATTTGGATCTCTAAGGCTGCATTCTTTAAGTTTAAGTTCCCAACTTCCCTTAATTTGATTAGAGAGTGTAAGACAAGTTCATGCTTGGTGGTGACTGATGAGTGGTGACCTACCTACCTCATCCTGCATATGAATTGTTGGCCTGGCTTGAAACCAGAGGATGCCAACATGAAAATTCATGTTGATTCTTGTAAAATTGTAGCTAGTGAAATTAGTATGGATCTTATTGTCCATTCTAGGCCTTACCAAACTAGCTTAGGCTATGTTCGGAACTTCCAGTTCCCATCCTCTCTCTCGTTTTTCGTGTGCACGCTTTTCAAACTGTTAAACGGTGTGCTTCTTGCAAAAAGTTTCTATACGAAAGTTGCTTTAAAAAATCAACTTAATCCATTTTTTTAAAAAAAAATAGCTAATACTTAATTAATCACACGCTAATGTACTGCTTCGTTTTCCGTGTGGGGAGATGGGTTCCCAACCCACAAGTAACGGATAGTGTTTTTATTCTTATTCACCAAAAAGGTATTTATTTGTGTTAAGCCCAATTTTTACAAGATATATATTACCAAAAAAAAGATTACAAGCATGTGGCCAAATTGGATTTTGAGTAGTTACTTCTACCAATGCAACTTGCATAACAAGATCAACTAGGAAGCTAGGCAAACCAAATCAGGATGGCCAACAAGCTGGCTGGTCATATGTAAAGCTCAGAATTTAAATAATGTTTGCCTCATCCTGTGCAAACACATCCTTTAGCTGCTAAGGAGATAAGGCACAAAGGCCATATATGAACCCTTTTGTTGAAACTTTTGCTATAATGCATACAAGCAACAAGACAACACATACTTGTGTGAAGCAAATCTGCTTTGACTTTCTTCCACACGAAATATCTCTACCTTGACCTGATTGCACACTGGATTGTGATGTACATGATTGAATCCAAGATGAAAGGACAATAAACTTTAACTGGAACATACTTTTACTCACCACCAAACACCATACTTTTTCTTTATTCTATCAAAGAAAGCACATACTCTATCTAGCTAGTTTATCCTCAGAAAGTAAATTGTACTTTTTAGCATCAAAAACCAGGTTCATTGGTTCCTTGGCTCCTTTCTGGATACTCCTATATAAATTATTACTCATATTCAGCTTAAACTTTAATCAATCTTTGATCGAGATATATGTCAATGAGATAACGAATGGTAAATAATGGATTGTGTGAATTTTTTGGCAAAAAATAAGGAATTAATTACCCCTTCCTTGTTATATATGCTAGATTTCTAACTTGGGATCGAAACAATCTAGAACATGACACGTTGATAAACTTGTGGATCCTATATGTTAGACTTGCATACCAATTACAGCTCACCTCACTGAAATAAAAGTGACCCCCTTTGACAATCAACCATGGCATAGCTAGCTGTCATGAAATTTGGTTGCTTACATAGATAAAACAGAAAATCTAGATAACGGCATCTCGTAGGAACGGGATGACTTAAAAGGTCTACGTTATTTCCATCAAAACAGTTGTACACGCATGCGGCACGATTTCCTACTAAGTGGCAGGTCTATACTCCACAACACATCCACGCGTATGTGTCCTTCCTGCAGCACAAGGACTCTAAATACACTGGTTGGGCACTTGGGCCATGTGAATCAATTTGGGCATGCACCTCTATAGACTTGACTTACATCTTCTATATACCACGGTCATTTTTAATTTTTTCGTTTTCTCCTTTTCTTGCTTTGTTTCTTTTCTTGAGTGAGACACATTGAGATTTAGTATGTCATGTAAATTAATTGACACAATGATATTATGTAACATAGATTTTATTTTTCTTTCTCTTTTTGACTGGTGTTCACTTTTCCGTCGCTATGCTGATACCAGCTGATACCAGTATGGTACCAGTTGCATGGTACCTGGTACCTGTGACAGCTGGTATCCGATACCTGTGATACCTAGTACCTGATACATGTGACACCTGGTACCTGGTACCTGTGACACCTGATACCTGATACCTGGCACCTGGTACCTGTGATACCTTGCACCTGATATCTGTGACACCTGGTACCTGATACTTATGATACCTGGTACGGTGGTACCCGGTACCTGATACCTGGTACCTGTGGTACAACATGTTGTACGCTAATTAATCACACTTAAAAATTGTCCCGTGACTTTACTTTTCCACGGTATCCCGTGGGCTAGCTGCCCTCTAGATAAAATGGCATGAGTAACAAGGAATTAATCAGGGCCATAAACAATGTATGCAGCTAACACGTTCTAATAAGGTAGTATTTTGTACTTGAAAGTACCTCTCAACCAGTCGTTTTCTTCTTGGCATATGTATGAGGTTAAAGCAATTAAGTGACTGATTGATTCAAAGATATAATTTCAAAACTACTCTTTTCAAAAAAGTTGTTAGAACGAATCAAAGCATGAAGTTTTGAAATTAAGTCAAAAGTTTGAAAATTTTCAGCTAGATATCTCCTAACTAAAAGACCTCATTAATCACACCACAACTTGATCAGTATTACCTCGCGAAAACACTTGCCTAACAAAGTATAGCGAGCTGAATCCGTCCATGAACAAAGGTTAAGGGTTCAACTTAATATAGCCGATTAGCCTCGACGGTTGGGGCGGCGACACGTGTTGCGCCGCAGCTGGGGCCATATGCATCCACCTTGTGACTTGACTTGTGTGTAGCTAGGTGCTGAGGTGATAGGAGTTGGTACCATACTTCAGCCGGCGTTTGCTACACTTTTTCTAACAGATGAAGCTCAATCAGGGAGCCCTGGCCATGCCTCCCTTGATGGAGACAAACATGCCTTGCACTTGCAACTCTATACATATAGGGCTACATGATTCAAATTGATTATATACACAATTCAAATAAGTATGAATTTTTTTTAAATGTTTAGATATTAACATTAACTACTTTACTAATTAGTTCAAACTAGTTTGAACTGAATTTGAACATGTTTTTATTAGAATTTGATTCTAGGTATATAACATCCAAACATATAATTAGTTAGGTATATAATATTGAATTGTGAAATAAAGTTAAATTTGAGTTGTTTTGTTGCTAGGTATAGGTATGAATCAAATACTTATAACTAGGTATATACTCACAATTTGAAAATTTTTAAAAATTTAGACGAATTTGTGTATTTCATACCATGGTGCCCGGGCACCATGGTGCCCCATATGAGTGTCATACATACATACATACATACATACATACATACATACATACATATGTGTATATATATATATATATATATATATATATATATATGTATATATATATATATATATATATATATAGACACACACACATTTATTGTTCAAACAACATATGTGCACAATTGTCTTCCTCCACTGGGATTTCTAGAGTTCATCAAATGGACTAGTGTGTCATACAATAAAGAAAAGATCAAAAGGCATTGCCTACCAATGAGGGCATTCTCCTACCATGCATCTAACCAGCATAGTATAGTACTCTGGCAATAAGTGAAAGAAACATCGTTTTTGACTTTTAAAAGTGAATATATAGTGTTGCTTTTACTACTAAACTTCTAGTTACCTCACTAGTGCGAGAATTAACAGCTCACGGACTGACAATGTAGGTTCCGTTGGTTTCCTCGTTTATTTGCATGCAATTTCCTTGTTTTTCTTCATTAGCACGTATCCTAAAGTGTTAAAACGGTCTGTTTTATAAAAAAACACTTTTTATATAGAAGTTCCTTTAGAAAAACAAATAAACTCATTTTACAAGTTTATAATAATTAATACTTAATTAATCATATATAAATGACTTGTCTTATTTTACGACAAGTGTAACATCTACAGTTCCCTGTAACTGGGCCTTTCCAACAAAGGAATACTCCTAGATTTTATGGGATTCTCACACAGTCAATTCTTTTGAAAATTCTTGGAATGGAGTGTTCAATTCCTATAAAATTCCTAGGAGCCCTAAGTTGCTAAATCCATGGGCTCATATACTCCATTCTGAACTTTAATTTACCTTAGTTGCACTAAATTGAAGTAGAATATATATCCTTGGAGGCTTGAATGCATAAAAATTGCATATGCTTAATCCATACGAAGCCTCGCTAGATTGCAAATGAGGTAGTAAAATTAATAGTGCATTTTTTGTCGATTTAAGTACACCATAGACAACGCCATCCTTTTCAGATGCAAAAAAGACAAAATATTTTTTTTAAAACAAAACGTTGGTGCCTTCCATGGTTCAACTTGACGGAGGAAATAACCAGTGATTGGAAGAAACAATTCAGCCACTAATTAATAAAGTATTTAAAATTTAAGTATATGTTTAATTATCATCATCATGACCATCACGTTGGCTTGTTTTCCTCCAATCACAAGTCAATGGCCAGTTGTTCAGTGTTGCTGTTATTGGCCCTGTTATTTTCATCTGCTTAAATTGATTGGCAGTATTCATAATAAAAAAAAACTCACTATATGCCATGATACTATTTAGAAAATTATTCCCTAATAAAGACACGAGATAGATAGATGAAACCGTCAAGAACAACAAACGACATGATGTTCTAAATCTCCAGAAAAGTCCGGAAATATTATATAGTTGACGTACATGTGCAAGTACAGATTAATTATGCTGAAAGCTATGGAATGCATGGGCACGAAGTCTTATCACTGATTCATGAATAATTGTTTTATAGCTCCTGTTATTTCAATGCATAATTAACTTGAGATTTAAATCGCTTCAAGTGAGACCTCAGCAACTCAAAGTATGCAAGCTCTACTGCTCTAGAGCAAAATATAATCACAATTATGAAACTTTATAAACACGAATATATATATATATATATATATATATATATATATATATATATATATATATATATATATATATATATAGTTTGCTCACACATTAACCAAATAAAAACAATGCTATTTTCATATATTAATCCGTGGCACCATACTTTGATAATTAAACTTATAGACATCTTCAAATAACCATACCTACCTCCAGAACAAAACATGCACTTATGAACAAATCATAGAGAATATGCATTATGTCTATCATTCAATGATTGTGCTACTGATTTTGTCACTAATTAATTAATAAGCGAGCAAAAAAAAGAAATGCAAAAACGTGTGCATGTTTTTCTGACACGTGGCACTCTCCGACAGAACAGGAATAAAAAGGTAATGATGAAAAAGGAGGGGTCTGGAAATGACAAAACAAAAATAATCAATTCGTTAATTGATGCAGTCATCGATTCAGTCATCATTTGTTTACCAATCATCGTAGTACTTAGTTTTCACAGGTGAATACAAATTAAAAGGCTTTGAGCTGGACTCTAGCTAGTACTACTAACTTCAACCCTCTGTGAGGTACATGGTGCACAAATTAAGTAGCAAAGTACGTAATTGATCCGGTGTCTGAATCTTGATCGTACATAGTAATTGCATATACGTATATACTTATAAACGAGAGCTTGAAAGGTGAAATTTCAGAAAAATGTTTTATTGCTTACTTCCTCCGTTTCATAATGTAAGTCATTCTAGCATTTTCCATATTTATATATTGATGTTAATCTAGATTCATTAACATCAATATAAACATAAGAAATGCTAGAATAACTTACATTGTAAAACGGAGGGAGTATTATTTATAAAAAGGAAAATGATTGCGAAAAATGATAGTAAATAAAAAAAGGGTATAAATGGTCTGAATGAGCTTCTTATACATATTGTCTCTATTCTCAAATAGATGACTTTCTAGACAGTCAAATATCGAAATCTTAAACCATTAATAGATGCAAAAATATTATGATTTAAAAAGTATACATGCAAAAACAATTATTATAACCATATAGTTTAATTAAAAAGTAATAATAATACATATCGATGTTCGAAATGTCAAGTAAAATTAACGGAAGTAGTAATAAGTAACCCGGATCCACCGTCCGTCGACGGTAGATCCATTAAAACTCCATGTAACCAGAAAAAACTGAAATAGAATTCAGACAGTAATTAAATCGTTTGTTTGGGCTCTCAAACATTTCTGGACGTTTGGTATATATAAACAAGCTGGAGGAGCTAGAGAATATGTGTGGAACCCTCTCTGAAAGCTCTGATAGCAGCTAGAAGAAAGCGACGGCATGTCGGCGTCGTCTCTCGCCGGCGGCGGCCGCCCGGCCGGCCCGCCGCCGTCTGGCGACCCAGGCTCTAGAAGCATCCAGTTTGCTATAGCTAGCAGGACAGCACTCTCTCTTTCTCTCCGACAAGGAGGGGAACAGAATGTTTTTGGCTTGATTTATTATTAGGGTAGGTCAGGCTTAGCATCAACACATCATCAGCTCTAACTAGCTACTACATCCCAAAATTAAAGCCTAAAAGGGCACGACATATTACACACTGCAGCAAGATCATAATATATACCTCTTCCATTCCAAAATATAAGACACAACCACCCTTAATCCAAAGACCAAGAAATAATTATTATCACCTCTTTATTTGAATCAATCTAACTAATACAATACATGCACCCAATAAAATTAAACATATTATGAGTGTATGATTTAAAAAATAGTAATTTAGGAGAGAAGATATGTTAATTAATTGCCATGCATGCATGCTTTATATTATGAAATACTTTTAAAAAGTAGTTGTGCCCTGTATTTTGGAATGGATGGAGTATCAATTCTTTATTTCCATCTCAAAACATTCTTCATGGATTACTGCTCACAGCAACAGGCTGGTGTTGGTTTAGTATTTTACTTCTTTTTTTTTGGGTGTACCATGTACACAAAGTGAAATGGTGAAATATTGGAAATCATCAGCAATTGTTAATCTTTCGCATAGTTACGGTGGTCATTGTTAGTTGTGCATACATGGTTTTTCAGGCAATGATTTTCCATGTTAAACTCTTGACTCTTGTTATCTTGATCATCTTTGTTATCTGACCCCGTCATTTGTAATGATTTGAAGTTCTGATGACCTGAAGACAGGGACTGATGCTTTATATTAGACTCTGATAGATGGACTGATGATTTCAGATTTCCTTTACCCTCGGTTACTTCATGTCTTCATATCAACACTTTGATATATACATACTCCCTCGGTCCATAAATATACAAGATTTTAGCCCTGTATTTATCCACAATTATAAAGGATCTTGAGATATTACTAGTCCCATAAATCACCTCCAATTCAAATTTCTTCGCATATTATTCCTGACCATTCCTCAACCTTAATTTCTAGTAAATAACCTATAATTCCTTATATTCGTGGATGGAGGAAGTACTCTATATCCTCTTTAATGAAAAAAGAATTGGTTACTGATTAAAAGCACTGATCTTTGCAAGCAAAGACTGTTGTAATAGTGTAATCAGGCTCATCTGATAATTCCTTTCCTTGAAGCCAGCATTCAGCAGCAAATGCTTCATGGATATTGGATCAGTTCAGCAACAGAGGAATTACCAGAGCATGTCCAAAAATATGTTAGTTTCTTCCTTACTGGTTTATACTGAACTCCGGCTCCGGCTTCGTTTTAATTTGTTCTCTAAAGTTTCTAGTACGATCACCATTAAGCAGATGTTCTTTTGAATGCACTGATCCGAGTAGCAGCAGAAGTATATATATTTCAGAGCAATCAACATGGCAGAGGGAGACCTTGCATTTACTAGCGGATAATGTACTACAGAAGAATCAAAACCTATTGCTCACAGATGTTCCATACACAATGAGGTTAGGGACTGACTGTACAACAGTGTCGATGGGAATGGCGAAGTTTACCCCGGAGGAGATCCCAGTTCCTGAAACACAAGACAGAAATCCGTCCATTAATTGGCACAGCAGCATTTCAGTACACCTTCTGCACAGTATCTTTGCACCACTGAGATGACCCATTAATGGTTACAGAAATGTCTACATTTAATTCGTGAGATTTGCATTAATTGTTTGCTACGTTCAACATAAAGAGCAGTATCATATCATGGCCATCTAGTACAGAAGATCACACGAGCTGGCAATCCACAACAGCCATTTTCTTGTGTGTAGTACATCCGGTTTCCTTAAATTGAGTGAAAAGAACAAAGAACTGAAACAGATAAGTGTTTTTTTTCCTTTTATTTCTTTTTTATTTTGGGAGAAAGGGGTATTACCCAACTTCTGTTCCAAGCTAATAATTGTTTGGACAGGTACAGAAAATGCTGGGGATAACAGCGGTTTGAATTAGATAGTTTTACATCGCATAACCTGACCTGCATAGGGTATCAGTATCACCAAATAACAATGCGACACCGAACCAACTATTCAATTCTAATGAAATATCTCAGCAAGGCCACAACTTGTATTTCTAGAGAAAATCTAGCTTCCCAGCAAATCAAGGCAGAATGGAGAAAAGATCTTTGACCATAGGTATTGACTACATGGTAACAAGACTTTGCCTGCTGCTTGGGCAATATTATGATAAGGAGAATTAATTTTTGATCCTGACAGTCTGTTAACTATTCCTTTCATCATACAGGAACGAGGACTTATGAAAAGGATTCAACAAGGCATGATGCTGCATGGTCTCTGTTAGCTCTACAGTTACTTCTGTTATTCTTGGTTTCTCCCAACAAAGGATTCTCAATGACTAGAATCTTTGTACTGAATGCACAGCAAAATGTGGCACGCATAAAAACAGAAAGTATCGGTCCATTTTATACTCTTCGTGACAGATTAAAGCAGGCAAATGAAAATCATGTGAGCTGTACATCTTTTGATATTTAGGCAGTGCTGATCTTAATATAGGAGCATTACCTTTACGTGTGAATGTAGCTGTATTTACTCCAATTACATGACCATATGAGTCAATTAGTGGGCCACCTGAGTTACCTGTCATTTGTCAATGTTAGAAAATTATGTGAAATAAGGGGAAATTGTGCTTTTTGACATAATACAAATACCCAGCTTATATGACCAATGAACTCTGGATATTAAGCGACGAAGCTAAGGAACATGAAAAAACAAATACTACCTCCGTTTCAAGTTATAAGACTTTCTAGCATTGCCCACATTTATATAGATGTTAATGAATCTAGGCACACATATATGTCTAGATTCATTAACATATATATGACTATGGGTAATGCTAGAAAGTCTTATAATATGAAATGGAGGAAGTAGATGTGAAATGAAGAATTGTGGAATAAGAATCAAAAGCTGCCCTGCAAATCTTTAAAATTCCTGGAATTGAATGGTGTGTGCAGAACAATTATTTTCCACTTCAGAAAAGAAAAGAAAAGAACAATTATATTCCTGGAATGGAATTGAATTTATAAACACTTTACACTTATTTTCCATTCATTTCTTCTCAGCTTTTTCTTATCAAATTGTTCATGGCATACCAACAACACCAAAGTTTTGTGAATGAGATGATCATCACGAATTTTGTAGATAGTGGATATTTCATTGAGCAATGAAATCACATCCAGATCATTACGAATATATAGCACCACTTTCAGCTCCTCGGTAGCTAAATCCGTGGCTGTCAACTAACCTATAGGTTAGTTTATACACTAATAAATTGATCAGAAAATTTCTGTGCAGTTAAAATCATATTTAGAATTATCTATAGATCTTATTTTCAAAGGAATTATATTTGTTGGGCGGTTGGGCCACCAGTCCACCTCCCATTCTCTTTTCTCAAGGCCCATTGAGAAGCTATACCATGATTGCATCCAACTCTAATTCATAGGCTTTGACACCTGGACTCTTGGGCATTTAGGCCAGCCCATATCAAGTTCACCCAATCATACCCTTTAAGGTCTGGCCACAAAACAACGCACCAACAAGGCAACAAGTTATGCCCTTTTATACATATATTTTTTTAGAACAGTGAACGTATCTTCCAACATCACTTACAACACAAACAGTTTTTCACCATGCTCGCCATATGGCGTACATATTTAGCTGATGCTTGTGTTAGTCCCTATTTCAACCTTACAGTCAGATAATTCACACCACCACACTGAAATATGCTCTGTTCATGCATCTAATCCAAACAGAACAAGTTCCATAGATCTAACGTTCTTCTAGGAAAGCACAGCACTAGTAATATAACACGAAAGCACATCTCAGATGAGCTTTCTATTTGGAGGACCATGCCCCTGGTTTCTACTCACATAGAGAACAGACAACCCAGTCCATACGTCAAGTACCAAAAAAGAAGTAACCACTAAGGCACAAGATAAGCCCAAAAAGAAGTGAATCTGAAAGACTACATCAGTACATTTAAAATTAAATTAAATGTATCTCAACTGAGATAGAGCAAAAGCAAAATATGAAATGTTGCCATCGGCCATATTTCAAATTAAATAATCAGTACACTACACCATTTCAGAACTAGTTGGTACTTGGAGTATGTCACAAGGAAAGATGATTTACTCTATATAATTGAAGGTGATATTTAAGCCCTACATGACATGGAATGAAGCAAGAGATTACCAGAATTTATAGCAGCATCTGTCTGTATAGCCCCACGAATCGGCCTCCCATTGGGAGATGGTATCTCCCTCCCCAATCCACTAACCACCTATAAGATACTTCAGTGATCATATAATCATATTTACTCCCCTACTGTTTCCCGGTCAAATATATATATATATATATATATATATATAATCAGATTTACCAAATACTCTAGTTTTGACATATGAATGTTGCACTAACAGGTAATTTCACAAATGGATCCACCTTGGAATATGGGACTCTGGCAATTTCAGAGCTTTGTACTAAACAAAAACTTAGAAAAATTTTAAGGCATAATTACCCCAGTAGTTAGGGTGTGCTCATATCCATAAGGGTTACCAATGGCAAAGCAGCTCTGCCCAACTCGCAAGCCCTTTGATGTTCCAATCAGAGCAGGCCTCAACTTATCACCATCAACATCAACCTGCAGCACCAATAGACTTCAAATATTGAATTTGGAACCAGATTCACATAACTGAAACTTCATCAACAAAAGGTGCATTACCTTCAGAACAGCAAGATCATACGATGGATCACACCCTACTAGCCTTCCTTCCTTCAAATAACTATTCCCACTAGAATCCTCCAATAACACCTAAAGGAAACACTAAACAATTAGCCAATGGTTAAAACTTAAAAGGCAAGAACAAGGAAGGTCACTATCTTTAGTTAATAACACTTCAGTGTATAACAGCAACAGGAAACCTTGCAGCGATGAAATGCAGATCCATCCCCAGCTAATTTTGCAACCACATGGTAATTTGTCACCTGAACGACCAATGTGACCAATCAGTTTTTGAAACATTAAAGAACAATACTCTAGCATTATGATCACATATTTGCGCATATGAATGCATCAGGATTCCATATTTTGAACAAAGTTAGCAAGAAATAATCCATAAGGTGATACTCCTTCCGTTTCTAAATATTTAACGCCGTTGACTTTTTTAAATATGTTTAACCGTTTGTCTTATTCAAAAAAATTTAAGTAATTATTAATTCTTTTTTATCATTTGTTAAATATACTTATATGTATACATATAGTTTTACATGTTCCATAAAAGTTTTTGAATAAGACGAACGGTTAAACATGTGCTAAAAAGTCAACGGTGTCAAATATTTAGAAACGGAGGGAGTAATTGTTTTCTTTTTAAAACAAGATGATGATATCTTTTTGGGGGTGAAATGGAGATGGTCGGTGCTTGCTCACAATGTGGCCCGCGGTGTCCCAGACGAACCCAGAGCCGGTCCCCTCCACCGTGGCGCCCCCCTCCTCGCCGTCCTCCGCCTCCACCGCTTGCCCGCCTCCCCGTCCCGGCGTCCGCCCGACGACGAGGTCCTTGATGAACACCACCGACGGCGACGCCTCCTGCATATATAGGAGGAAAAAAAGGTGATGGTCGGATCAGCGCGTTAGGGTTTAGGACGCGGCGTGCTGGAATCTACTACCACCTGGAAGAGGCGCACAACGCGGGCCTCGTCGATGTCCTCGCCGCCTCCGCCGCCGGGGTCGGCGCGGGCGGGGCGCGGCCGAGGGGAGGCCGCGAGGAGGAGGAGCGCCGCTGCGGCGGCGGCGGAGGCGGAGGAAGCGCGGCGTGTGGTGGCGAAGGGTGGTGAGTTGGGAGGCGGCGGCGGCGGCGGTGGCGGTGGCCGGAGGAGGAGAAGGCGGAGCAGCGGGTGGACCGCCATGGCTGGAGTGGCGCTCGTTGGACGCGCGCTATCTGATGCGTGGCTGGGAGCGAAGGCGGTATTGTTGAAATACGCCTTCATCTTTGCAAAGCGAATTTTGGGAGCACGCCTTGTACGTTTCAATTTCGAGAGAGAGTGGAAAAAAAAAAGGTTTATGCCATTTCGACCAGATTCTAACAATCAGTAGTTATGTAACCACGAAAATAAACTAAAAATACCTACTAGCTTCTCAGAATCTCTTGGCTCAACCAAGAGTCTGTTTGGGGAGCTTCTAGCAACGGTAGATTATCACAGAATCTTCAGTTCCCCCAATAGTCGAGATTGTCACCAAGATTTTGACAACATTTAGTTATAGAACCCAAAAAATAAATTAGAACCTAGGAGCTGGAAAACACAGCTTCTCTAGATTTTTCAAAAGTTGGCTAACAGCCAGCAGATTCTCATAATCTTGAGCTCCTCCAACCAGGGCGTAAGATTGACATGAACACCAGCAATGTAAGTAAACAATGAAAATGTTTCATCTCGGAGTAGAAATTTACTGAATACGATTGAATTAATATGGTGGATTCATTTGTTCTTCCAAATGGACCCAGGTATGCTCCTAGAAATGCAGTTAGTTTGATCATTGGCCTAAGAAAGCTTTTAGGTTGTGTTTAGTTCAACGCAAAGTTTGGATTTTTGTTGAAATTGAAGATGATGTGACTGAAAAGTAGTGTGTGTATGACAGGTTGATGTGATGGAAAAGGACTGAAGTTTGGATCCAAACTTTAGATCTAAACACAGCCTTAGAATTGCAGTTATTTCGGGAAGTATGGAATATTTTTCATTTGACAAAAGCCGCAATACAACGCAGGTAATTTCAGTCGTATTAGCAATCAAATTTATAAAAGTTTGACAGCAATACTTTGAAAAACAAGTCAAAAAGGAACAGGGATAACGCAAAAAGCAGCTAGCAGCATGATTAATTCGACGAAGGCTGCACACTGCGTACAAGAAAAACGACTGATGTTATTATATACACTTCATCAGTATAACACTCCACACACACAACAAACATATATCGCTACCATTTTCTGTGAATCATCAAACATGAACTACTACTGGTAGTATAATAATACTGGTAGTATAATAATTCTGGCCGGCGACGAGCAAATTAAAGTCATACAATGTCGTGGTTCATCGGTGAATGCGCCACCGGGACAACGGCGGCGCCGGTGAGCTCGTCGAGGGCGTCCTCCTCCGTCGCGGCGGGTGGCCTCGCCTTGGGGTCGTACCTCTTGCTCGCCGGGTTCGCCGCCGGGTCGTACCTCTTGACGACCAGCACCGACGCCGACGTCCTGAACTCCGGCGACGCCAGGTAGCTCCCCACGGGGCCCAGCTCGTCGGGCTTCTCCACCAGCGGCGCCGTCGGCGGCATCCTCCCCACCACGAACACGCTGAACATGGACAGCGAGTTGATCGCCTCCATCACCTCCGCCTTGCTCTGCGCCGGCCGCTCGTCGAACCGCACCGACCCGTCCTTCACCATGCCCACCTTCGACTTGAACGCCTCCACCGCCGCCTCGTCGGCGGCGTCCTCCTCGTCGGGCTGCGCGCGACTCGGCCTGAACCGCTCCAGCGTCACGGCGACACCAGGGTGCTCCGCCATCCGCGTCGCGTACGCCAGGGCCTCGCGGTCGTCGGGCCCGCCGAAGAAGAGCGCCGCCACGGAGAAGGCCACGTTCTTGGCGGACACCTGGGCGTGGCCGCCGAGGCCGCGGTCGACGAGGACGGCGACGGAGCAGGGCGCCTCGCGGAGGACGCGCTTGTTGATGGCGTGGTACGCGGAGCCGAGGGACTGGAACGTGCCGTCGTGCTGGAGCATCTTGTGGTACGGCATGACGACGATGGCGGCGCGCTTGGCGGTGGCGCTGTCGATGACGTCGCGGTGGATGGTGTCCAGGTCGGAGATGGCCGTCATGGGGCGCACCCGCACCGAGCTCAGCTGCTGGAACGCCTCGAACGCCACCACCATCTGCTCGGCCTTGTCGCCGGAGTTGAAGAACGGCATGCCGTTGCGGCGGGCGCGCTGCACCAGGGTGATCGCCGACGACCGCTCCGAGAGCTCCACGAGGTGCATGGCGTACATCACGAGGCGGCCGCGCCCGGTGCCCCGCGACGACTCGACGAGGTTGAGCAGCGTCGGGATGTTGCGGTTGGTGTGGAAGCAGGCCAGCACGCGCAGCTCGCCGTCGGCCTCGCCGCCGTCCACGGTGCGGCGCTTGTACGGCGCCGTCGGCCGCGCCGGCTTGTAGATGGCCATGACGATCGGCGTCGTGATGAACGTGGTGAACAGCGCCATGAGCACCATGATGGCGAACGCCTCGTCGTTGAGCACCTTGCGATCCTTGCCGATGTTGAGGACGATGAGCTCGACGAGCCCCTTGGTGTTCATCAGGAACCCCAGCGTGACGGCCTCCCGGACAGGGATCTTGACGAGCAACGACGTGATCACCGTGCCGCCGATCTTGCCAAGGCAGGCATTGACGATGACGAGCACAAGCAACCCCCATGACTTGGCTCCACGTATGGTGGCCACATTGGTCTTGAGGCCACTGGAGACGAAGTAGAGTGGCAGGAAGAGGCCGGAGATGAGGTCCTCCACCTTCTCGATGAGCACGCCGGCGAACGGCCCGTCCTTGGGGACGGCGATGCCGACGAGGAACGCACCAAACAGCGCATGGATGCCGATGGTGTCGGTGACGAAGCCGGCGGCGAGGACGATGGCGAGGGTGGCACAAATGTACAGCTCCTTGACGGGCTCCCCCTCCGGTGACCGCCGCGCCATCCACGCCAGCGCGGGGCGGAGGAACAGGAAGATGGCGGCGACGAAGCCGGCGGCGGTGAGGAGCACCCAGAGCGAGATGATCGGCGAGCCGGAGCCGGAGAGCGCGACGGCGAGCGCCAGCAGGATCCACGCGGCGACGTCGTTGACCGCCGCGGCTGACATGGCCATGCGGCCGAGGTCGGTGGTCAGGAGCTTGAGCTCGGCGAGGATGCGGGCGAGCACCGGGAACGCGGTGATGGAGAGCGCGACGCCCATGAACACCAGGAACGGCGCCTGCGGGGCGCCCTTGACGATGGTGGCGCGGAACGCGAAGGAGGTGCCGATGCCGAGCGCGAAGGGGGCGGAGATGCCGGCGAGGGCGATGGCGAGGGCCTTCTTGCCGGTGCGGCGGATGGCGGAGATGTCGAGCTCGAGGCCGACGAGGAAGAGGAAGAAGAGGAGGCCGAGGTTGGCCAGCGTGTCCAGGACGGTCATGCTCTTTGGCGGGAACACGTTGTGCAAGAACTTGCTGCTCCGGCCCAGCGCTGACGGCCCAAGAAGGATACCACCCTGCATCAACCACCAAGCCATTGTTAGCCAACAAATCATACAGTGACCTTTCGGTTCAAATTGAAATGAGTAAATTTCACAAATCTACATATACTTGGATCAAATTATGACAAAACTATAGAATTTAGTGATAAAGTTATCAAAGAACTACATATTTTTAGTTTAGATCCACAACACTATATTTATTTAAAGTTACAAAATCTTTAGTTTTGTGATAAAATTATTGTTAAATTTATAGTTTTATGATAAAATAGTTGTTAAATCTGTAGTTTTGTGATATAATACCTTAAATTGTAGTTTTGTGATAAATTTAGCACTAAATCTGTAGTTTTATTAAACACGTTCATAAATCTGTAGTTTTGTGAAACACATTGTTAAATCTGTAGTTTGTGATAGTTTAATTAAAGTATGTGTAGTTTTGTGAAATTTACTCAATTGGAGAAAACACTTGAATGCTTGTAATATCACTCCATTTGTGAACAAGTTTAGCGTTTTTCATTAGAGCAGCAGTGGTTATATGTAAGAACGTAACACTGGAAGAACATGAACATGTAGTGTGCTGTAGAATTCGTGCTTATCAAGGTTCTATAGTTGCTCCCCGGTAAAAGAAAGAAAGAAAACAAAACAAAACAAACCGTGTAAGTTTAGTGGTCATGGATGACCTTGTTGTTTAATTTGTGGTTCATAACAATTTAAAGTTGAGCTACCGGCCAATAGTTGTGTAATTTTCTGTAGGAAAAACTGAATGATGCTGTAAGAAATGATCTAAGCAACAAAGAATAAGTTGGTCAGAGGGCATGGCAAGGAATGCCAATAGATAATTACGCATCCACGAATGGTTACAAGTTACTTGCTTTGCTTGATGAACGAAAAGCATTGTTTAATAGCAGTTGGCACTGTTACCTACTTACCTGTACTCTTTTTCTTGCTTAAGCAATTTCTGCAAGTCAAAGACAGCTAGCTAATCAGGAAGCATATCTTTCTTTCAATAATGCATTCAACTATTCACCTTAATTTTTCCCCGGGTCTATTATATCCTAAATATAGTGTTGACTTCGACTAATAAAACAACACAAGAAATACAACCAAACCTTGCACTGAACCTATTGGCAAGAAACAGGTCCACATTCATTTTCTTCATCACTTCTTAAGAATCAGTGGTTTTTTTTAGAAAATTTAAGAATCAGTGGTGGCTTACTGTAAGAAGCTAGGGGCTATGCATGCGAAATGAACGTGCAGTAAACTGCAGATTGGCTAGCTAGTTAATCAGTGCAGTTGAAAGTCAGCAGACTGTACAGTTCCTAAAACTATTTTCTTCTCCTAGTTCTCTATAAAATGCAGATTATTACAGCTCCTCAGAGTTAATTCTTTCTAACAAGATGAAAGTGACATGCATGTATGGCAAAAGTCACCGATGCAGTTCACACTTTTCAGTAAACACATGGCAACATTGTCCAAACTCCAGGACACAGATCACAGATGTGGTGGATATCACGAATGCAAGTTGCAACCAGAAATCACATCTTTCTGGGAGAAATTAAGATGTGATATCTCTATGGCAAATAGTGTCCCCTCTAAACGTGGTGCAAGCAAAGAGAGTAGTTGCCCTGAAGTTTAGGAGTATAAATATATACTATTGTTTGAAGATGCTAGGAATCTTCTTGCTTCTAGGTGAGCGAATATCTCTGATCTCTTGGAAAACAAAGCATATAAACCTGAAGTATCTGAGGCAGGTATCCCCTAGGAGAGTCAGTATCCAGCCTGCCTGATGCGGTTGTCTACCACGTGAGAAGCACGGCTCAGCCAAAGTCTTCCCTTATTATAGGATCTAAGGAACCTAATGTGGTATTGATTAATCAACCAATAGCTAATTTGGGGAAATATATATTGCACTAATTACATATTGCATTGGTTCTTTAGATGCATGCCTCTTTCCTTCGTCTGATCCTATAATGATGAAACTATATAGTATCAAGGTAAGGCAGTTACTGATTGTATGTTATGAAAAAGGAAAACTAAGTTACTACCATATGTTTTAGCTTCCACATCCAGTTAATATGGGCTTTAATCATGTTCATGTATCATTCCTCCTCCTGCCATACTGTCAATGTAATAGTATCACAATAATTTCTTCCTCCAATTGCCATTTTCAATCCATTTTTATAGGCCACGTGAGTGTTTCTTTTGAAAATTAAAAACGCAGGCATCCAGTTAAACCTCTTCTTTTTTATATTTTTCTGGAAAAGAAAATCTCGAACTCTCACACCAATCATTTTTTCACCGGACAACTCTCACCAACCTAATCCATACCCACTGCTCATATTCACACCCTAATAACTATTCCATCCGTCCCTAAATATTTGACGCCGTTAACTTTTTTAAACATGTTTGGCCGTTCGTTTTATTCAAAAAATTTAAGTAATTATTAATTCTTCTCCTATCGTTTGATTCATTGTTAAATATAATTTTATGTATACATATAGTTTTACATATTTCACAATTTTTTTTGAATAAGGAGAACGATCAAATATGTTTAAAAAAGTCAAATGTGTCAAATATTTAGGAACAGGTGGAGTACTTAAATGAATCCCAAGGTCCCAAGGCAAGCACCAACTCCTAGATGTGATTGATCTACTTAAGAACACGAACACTAAACAATATATTTGTACAAACTCTACTAGAGGGGTTTTTAAAATATTTCTCAAGTAATAATCACTGCAAAATTCAAGTCAACATATATTATCAAACCAGTACCCCGTCAAATTTGGTGTTAATCAGTCCATGCCCACTCTGTTCATATTCATATATCCCAATAAGTAATAAATGAATCCCAAATCAGGCAAGCACCAACTCCTAGATGTGATTGATCATCTACTTTAAGAACACGAACAAACAGTACTAAACAAGATTTGTATACAAAGTATTTTTATTAAAAATATTTGTCGAGTAACAAATAAGTGCGAAATTCAAGTCTACATATTATCAAACTAGTGGTACCCCACGAAATTTAGTCAGCTGAATGTGTATGCGTCTCTATCACGCACGATCGCAACGGAAACGGGGGAAGAAAAAGGCCACGAAAAGGATTCGATTGTCCCATCGGCTCCGATTTTCAAAAATTCCAACCCCCGCAACAACAATTTCCTCCCCCAATTTCGCAGTTATTGTTCCACTTGCGCGAGATTTTCAGCGCCTTCACATCCAAGGACAACAAAATTCAGAAGCTGGGAATTAACAGAGCCTTCACCTCGAAGGACATGGAGATTTTCAGAGGGGAACAGAGAAACGGATAAGGACAAAGCAAGCAAGCAACAAGAGAGAGAGAGAGAGAGAGAGAGAGAGAGAGGCGGAGGGGAACACGGCACGCCGCAACCGACCGAGCGAAACCCTAGGCGCCCCGGGCCGAACCGGGTTGGTCCACAGTACTACACTAGCAGAGCAGGTAGCCATGGCGGAAGGAGGACTTACGATGATCTCGGCGATGACGCGGGGCTGGCGGAGGGGGCGGAGGAGGTAGGCGAGGACGCGGGTGACGACGACGACGAGGCAGATCTGGAGGATGATGAGCGGCAGCGCGAAGTCCAGCGGGTTCTCCTTCTGGAACGCCCCCTGCGACGTCGCCTTCATCGCCGCCGGGCAGCTGCCTCCGCTCGCCGCCATCCTCTACTCCTCCTTACTGGTGACTTCTCACTCCCCCCGCCGCCGGAGTGGACCACCAATGCGCTTCGCCGCCGCCGCCGCCGCACCACGGCGAGGAGGGAGGAGTCGATCGAGTCGAGTCGGAGAAGCGAACACGAATCAGACACGCACAGCCACACTCGGCAGCCGCGTGGGGGTGGGGCGCTATATATAGGGGAGGCCGCGTCGGCCGGGGTGCCACGTCAGCACCCGAGGAGGAGTCTCTCAGAAGAGGATTAGGAGAAGGAGACGATGAAGAAGGCGGTTACAAATACTACTACTGCTACAAGTCGGTCGAGACAAGACACAAGAGGGGATTTTTTTTTATTATTATTATGTCCCATAATATAAGACAGGGTTAAGATTGATACGGTTATCTTATAATTTTTTATTATATATTAACAAAATTATGAACATATGAAAGTAAATTCAAATGGCAATTCAATGATATAATTTTTAGCAAGTAAAATTCAATTCATATTCAAAATGTTTTAAAGATGGAATCTTGAAATGTGTGTGTGTCGAGTATAAGCGATTGTAAAACGGTGTTCTTTTTTAATTAGAATATAAGTTTATCTTGATTTTTTGTTATCAATGCATTTTAAACTGTTAAATAGTGTTTTTTAACGAAAACAAGTTACTTTAAAATGTAAAGAAATAAAGTTGGTAAGGGAGAATATAAATATTGTCTCTGGATTTCAAAATCTATTATATTTTAGGATAAATTTAAAGAGCAAAATCCCTTATTTATTATGAGACGAAGGGAGCAGTACGTAGAAGCAAAACTCTAATAATCCCACATGCATACAAGAAAATTTTTTTAAAAAATGCAGCCTCTACTGCTTGCTTATAGGTTAGATTGTTTGAGATTAGTTTAGGGCAATAATGCATACCAAGCGTTGACATTGCCCATGCCTTGTCTACACGATGGAAAATCTAAAAAACATGCGTACACACAATGCAAGCAGAGAGAATCTGAGATTTTAGACACGGTATATAATAGTACTAGTAGCTAGCTACTCCCTCCGTTTCAAGTTATAAAACGTTTTGACTTTTGTCAAAAGTTAAACTACTTCAAATTTAATTAAGCTTATAGAAAAATATAGTAATATTTATAATATTAAATTAGTTTCATTAAATCAATAATTAAATATATTTTCATAATAAATTTGTCTTGGGTTGAAAATGCTACTCCCTCCATCTACTTTTGATAGTCATATTTTTAAATCTGAAAAATTTATTTTTGATAGGCATATTTCAATCCAACAACTTATCATCTTAATGGATTTCTTGGATTTAATGCGTGACTCTTCATTCTTCCACACAAGATTGGCTACATGAGTATCGAGAAATGTAAATATTAATGATCGCTTGTTTACGAGGAATGACTAGTAGCATGTTTAGATGGATGATAAGTAGAATCAGTTATCGTTGGTCTGTGTGCCAAGATGAAATATGACTATCAAAAATAGATGGAGGGAGTATTATTTTTTCTACAAACTTAGTCAAATTTGAAGCAGATTGACTTTGACGAAAGTTAAAACATGTTATGATACCTGAAACGGAGGGAGTAGTTCAGTTTGTTCATAGCCATCTAGAAACTAACACGTGCACAAAAGTTGGATTCATTGCCGCACTATTATATCATATATGCATGCATATATACCTAGAGGCTAGAGAACAGCGTTTTTTTTTTCCCTTTCTCTGCCAGCAATCTAACTCAGGAAATTAAATTTCGATAAAATTTGTTACATGACACTCTAAATTTATGGCATTTGTTCTCTTACACTCTAGTTTCATGGTTTTATCTAAGTCACTCTAGTTTTGTGGTTGCTTGAAAAAAAATAAATACTTCCACCATTATTTTAGTGTATATATATATACTCTTTCAATGGAGAGATAAAACTCTGTACCAACATGTCGCAATTTGGGTAAGTTTTAAATTTTGTATAATATGTGTCTAAATTCATCTAAAATGTATTCAAATTCAAATCTTGCAAGGTGACTCAAGGGTAAAGTTGTTTCTTTTAAATTTTATCTCTATATCAGAAGAGGATATATATTAAATAGTTGGAGTACATTTTTGCAAACAAACACATAACTAAACTATAATTGAATGTCCTGAAGCAAATGCCACCACTCTAGTGTCCTCAAGTAAATTTTGCCAAGTTTTTGGATTAGTAACAAATGTAACAGTCTTCAACTATTTAGTAAGAGTTAACTTTTTCACGATCCTAAAAAAGTATTTGCAAGTCTTTGCGATTTCGATCGATCTATAGTGTTAATCAGGAGACATATCTCGATCTCGACATAATTATAATTAACCCCCACTCAATCGGTTAACACTAAAATATACATCTAGTCTTAATACTCACCAAATATACAAAGGGTAAAAATATACATCTACCTCACCGAATGTAATGGATAAAACTAAACCTCGAAGTAGCAATCATAGACTCATTAGTCATGGTCACAATATGTAATAAGGCCCTGTATAGATGGGACTAAAACTTTTAAGTCCCTATCACATCGGATGTTTGAAAATTAATTATAAATATTAAACGTTGACTATTAATAAAACCCATCCATAATCTTGGACTAATTTGCGAGACGAATCTAATGAGCCTAATTAATCCATGATTAGCCTATGTGATGCTACAGTAAACATTCTCTAATTATAGATTAATTAGGCTTAAAAAATTTGTCTCATGAATTAGCTTTTATTTATGTAATTAGTTTTGTAAGTAGTCTATATTTAATACTCTAAATTAGTGTCTAAAGACAGGGACTAAAGTTAAGTCCCTGGATCTAAACACCACCTAAGCATACACATACATCAACATCGAGTATCTTTTGTTAAGTATTCTCCTAGGTCTGACCTTACGAGGTACAGCAGTAATTGATGGGGACATTTTTTTTAACAAAATCTCTATTGTGGATAGTGCAATCGTGGGAAGAGTGTGACACATTTTCACCTTTTTTTTTAAGTTACTCCCTCTGTCCCAAAATATTACTACACACGCAACACCACACTCACACCCTCGCAAATACGCTCTCTAACACACAACACCACACTCACACCCTCACAAATACGCTCTCTAACACACAACATATCACACTCACACCCTCGCAAATACGCTCTCTAACACATGTTCTAAGAGATGGAAACCTAAAGGCATATCTCTGATCTTACCACATTTCTGTTAAAAGCTAAGTGAGATACTAGCTATTACAAGCGATGAGTTAACATGCATGCATGCAAGTAGCTTATGATGTATATATAGGTACTTACAGCCAGTTGCGTAAAAGAATATTTTCTACATGATAATAATATAATTATAGTTAAACTTTAACTCATAGACTATACAAATTCTAAAAATTAATCTTATCCGTTTGAGCCAGAGTAGGGAAATATATATATAGGTAGACAGATAGATATATAAATATTATTAAAACAATATAGATAGATAGATATATCATCCATCCACAAATATAAGAATATTTAGTTATTTATAGTAGATATTAAGGTTAGGAAGAAAAGATTCCGGTGTTCCTCATTAAATGAGGTAAATGAGGTATGGTTTATGCCCTGATAGTTGAGGATAGGATAGAAAAATCAATATGATTAATATGAGGTAATTAATATGGGAATTACTAGTACTCTAAAATTTCTTATATTTACAAATAAATTTTAAATGGTTGAAATGTTTACATCGGTGAACAAATGAGTAATCTCTCCGTGCTAAAATATATCAAACTAGAATTGGATATGATACATATTATAGTAATACGAATTTGGATATGTATGTCCTTATCTAATATTCGTAGTAATGGAACATGTTTCATCCAGTTTTGTGTTGCTAGGTGGTGTTTGAATCTCCTGAAGATGAAGATGAAGATTAAGTGTTTCACGCAAAATGATGTGGTAATAACGTGTGATTAATTGAGTTTAAATTATTATAAACTCGAAAAATGGATAAATCTGATATTTTAGAGCAACTTTCACATAGAAAGTTTTCGCACGAAATGTACCGTTTAGCAGTTTAAAAAACGTGCCATTTTAATCCAAAAGTTTATCCTCTAATTTTGATACGGTGGAAGTAGATTAGTATTCGCGTCGTGACAGTTGCGAATAGTACATTTTCCATTGTGTATGTGCATGTGTTGAGGGGGCTGACCAGCGGCAAAAGCTAGCTATAGCGGCGAGGCGACGTGTTCTGAGACTCTGCTTTTCTTCTGCACTTTTTAGCGTACATTACTCTTGGGGACAAAAAAAACCTTTTCTGTACTAGCGAAGAAATTAATCTGGCGTACACACTCTCTGAAAGATAACCTCTCTGACTTTTTGATACTCCGTACTCGAGCCGACTACGTACCTTGAGCTATCAACAAAACTGTATTGCTGCTACTTGCAGAGAATAATGAATTAATAATTATTACTTCCTCCGTCCCTAAATATTTGACGCTGTTGATATTTTTAAACATGTTTGACCGTATTCAAAAACTTTTGTTAATATTATTAAAAACTTAAGTAGTAGTAGTATATTTAAAAATGAATCAAATGATAGAAAAAGAATTAACAATTACTTAAATTTTTTAAATAAGACGAACGATCAAACATGCTTAAAAAAACCAACGGCATCAAGTATTTAGGGATGGAGGGAGTTATTAACATCTTAATTTCTCTTTTCGTGTGTAATTAAACAAAGGATTTTGTCAAAGGCCACTAGCGTCGATTGGCTGGCTCCAGTAGCTAGATAACATGTGGGTCCAACCCTGTCTCTTAATTATTGGTGTGCTTTGAGGACAAAAGTTTATATTTGTCGTATCTCAATCGTTTTTATTAAATTAAGGAATATATATGTGCCAATTGCCATCATGTTGCTGTGGTAATATAGATGGAAGAAAAAAGGAACTCGGGGACAATCTACCAATAATTGGAGAAGAAAAGGTTATCCTACAAAGAGTAAGGTAAATATTGAAAAGCAAGCGGGATATATATAGATAAAAACTTGGAAGTAATGACGTTTTACGAGATTGTGTCATTGTATGTGTTTGTGTTGCGTGCACCATTTTGCACCACCATGATTTTGGTGTAGACTTGATTAATTGCATTTTTTTTTGGTAATTGGAAATTTTTAGGTGAATGGAATAGTCTAGCAAAACCAACACCATGTACGTACTGCCTCGAGCAATATGGTGTATACGATGAAGCTGGTGAAGATAATGTACA